TTTAGTAGTAATTTTCAATGTATCTATAGTTTTTATTTTAAATTTCCTTTTCAATTTTGGTTAAATTTTATTTGAACTATAAAGTTTAAATTATAGTTCAAATGAAGTTTTAGCCTTGGCAACTAGCTGCAATAAAATTAATTAAAGTTTTTTTTATATTTTAGTTCCGTTTACTTGTATTTTGCTTCAGTAAGTCAAACTTTGGTCCCAAAAAAACAAAAACACTACAATTTAAAATAACTTTTTTCAGTTTTCAGCATCATTACTCCAGTCTTCAGTGTCACGCGATCCTTCAGAAATCAGTCTAATATGCTGATTTGCTGCTCAAGAAACATTCCTGATTATTATCAATGTTGAAAACAGTTGTGCTGCTTCATATTTTTAGGATTCGTTGATGAACAGCAAATATTATAAAAATAAAATATTTTTGTAACATTATAAATGTCTTTACTGTGACTTAATTTAAACCATTCTGAATAAACATTTATTTCTTCTACTCAAAAATAAAAAAATCCTACTGAGCCCAAACTTTTGGTAGTATACATAAAGATACATGTTGTACAGCCCAAAGGTAAAACACAGACACGTGCATCTGCGTGTAAGAGAGGCTCTGGGTAGACAATGCTTTATCCCACGCGTATAACTACACACACCACAGATGTGTGGCAGCAATGTAAATGGGACATTTCTTTGTGTGTGTAACATGACCTCACCTCTGTCTGATTTGGTCCAGTTTCTCCGGATCGCTGATGAGCACCTGAACACCCAGCTTCATCTTAGTTTTCTGCAGGCTGAAGTCCAGACAGGCTATCTTGGCATTGGACACACGCTTCACCATTCCTAAACAATACAAACAACAGTTACAAACACGCATACGAACATACACTGTGCAATGTGAAAAACAAGCATGCGCATGGACAGACCTTGTGATCCGACAGTGCAGTTAAGTGCGTATCCGTTGACGAGGAAACTCTCTTTCTGGCTGCGTCCGTGAGCCTTCAGCACATTCACAGAGTTGATGGGATAGCGAGCAACACCTTTCCCATCAACAAACTTCACAGCCAGGGCAGCGTCCACCACCATATTAGCAAAAAAATCTGAATCACTGACAGAACGTCAAGGAACAACACTTTCACTTCAAATGATTAGCCAACGTCTGCAAAACTCTGTTAATGCAGTTTAAATCTCTGAAATTAAACAGACTCTTTATGCAGCCTTATTGAATACTACAATCACTTAACTTTTTTTTTTTGGATGTTGTGACATGATTTTAGACGCATTTAAATGCAAAATATTATATAGAAAATAATATATACTATAAAATACTTTTAATAATAAGCAGAATCTCTAATAAGCAGTAGAAAAGCAGAATTTGTATATAGAGCCTGCACACACACACACACACACACACACACATACATACATATATATATTAAAATTAATACAATTTTAAATAATATAAATTTGAATAATGTTTATATAGGTAATAATATTATATACATTATATAGCATTTTGTGTATGTATGCATGTATGTGTGTATAATAAACATATACACACACACACACACACACACACACACACACACACTAGCATGAAACAGCACAAAGCAGAGGATACACTCCAATGATCTTAGAGGACATGGAAGTCTTGGCAGCATTGATGAGACACTCTCTGCCCAAATCATCAGTGCTGATGGTCAGGTTCTCACTGATGTATCTGACTGCCTCCCTGTGAACCACAGCAAATTAGGCCGTTTCATTTTAATGTCAATCATGCTTAAACACACCAGACTTCCTGTTGGCACAGGAAGTGACTCTTACTTGCAGGCCAGTCTGTATCCACTGATGATGGAGGTGGGGTGGATCTTCTGTTTGACGAGCTCATCGGCACTCTTCAGCAGCTCAGCAGCGATGATCACCTTCACACACACACACACACACACACACACACACACACACACACACACACACACACACACACACAGATGAGCGGTTCTCACTTTAACTGATATTCAATCAACACTGTCTATTGTACTGTCAGGATGTGGAAGCTGCAGAAAAAAACCTGCAAGTCCCGTAGTTTACGACAGGCGGTTTCTGTATCCTGTTAGCATAGCCACACATACTGATACTGTATGGATGGCACTATAACAGGAAATGTTTTTTAACAGAAACGTCTATCCAAAGCAGCAAATGTCTCACCACTGATGTTGTGCCATCTCCAACCTCCTTATCCTGCAGCTCTGCTAGCTCACAGAGGACCTTAGCCGCCGGGTGCTCCACCTCCAGCAGCTTCAGGATGGTGGCTCCATCATTGGTGATGGTCACGTCCTGAAACACAGATCCTAAGCATGAGAAAACAAACCCAATAGGAACATCTACACTGCATTATCTACAAACAATTCTAATGTCTCCTATTAGACACAACAGGGATAGTTCACCCAAAAATGAAAATTCTGTCATTAATTACTCACCGTCATGTCGTTCCAAACCCGTAAGACCTCCGTTCATCTTCGGAACACAAATTAAGATATTTTTGATGAAATCCGAGATCTCTCTGACCCTCCCGTAGACAGCAAGGATCCTTACACGATCAATGCTCAGAAACGTAGCAAGGACATCGGTAAAATAATCCATGTGACATCAGGGGTTCAACCGTAATATTACGAAGCTACGAGAATACTTTTTGTGCGCAAAGAAAAAAAACAAAAACTAACGACTTTATTCAACAATTAGTCTCCTCTGTGTCACACTATAGCGCCATTTTGGAGAGTATCAGCTGGACGTAAACAGCGTAAATTCCAAAATGGCGCTATAGTGTGACGCGGAGAAGAATTGTTGAATAAAGTCATTATTTGTGTTTTCTTTTGCGCACAAAAAGTATTCTCGTAGCTTCGTAATATTACGGTTGAACCCCTGATGTCACATGGATTATTTTACCGATCTCCTTGCTACGTTTCTGAGCATTGATCGTGTAAGGATCCTTGCTGTCTATGGGAGCGTCAGAGAGATCTCGGATTTCATCAAAAATATCTTAATTTGTGTTCCGAAGATGAACGGAGGTCTTACGGGTTTGGAACGACACACGAGGGTGAGTAATTAATGACAGAATGTTCATTTTTGGGTGAACTATCCCTTCAAGTATACAAGACCTGAACACCACGGGTTACTCTGACCGGAGGGAAATGTCTGCACTTACTCCGATGTCGTCCACTAACATCTTGTCCAGGCCGACGGGACCCAGAGAGCTCTTCACGATGTTAGCAATGGATGCAGCGGCCATGACTGCAAAGCAACAAATACAATGAATTTGAATGTTTCACTCTTTTCTGCTCGGCAAGATTTTGTATACCAAAGTTATCCGCACTACACGGATGGGTTTGATCATTGCGCTCGCGTCTTTTGCAGCGTTTCGCGATTAACACTGTGTTAACTTGTTGAGTCGCATACTATGGAAGCATATAGGTAGCGAACTTTAATTTAAAATGCAATATGCAAAATGGCATTGTATTTCTGTATTTAAATTTTCCATTACCAATACGTGCAAAGTTTGGTGCAAAAGTAAAATTCAATTATATAATTTACATTTGCCATTTCCAACAGCAGTCTTAATATGTAGAACATGCGGGATTCATATTTAAAGCGACTTTTGCGGCTTAACATTTACAGATACTAGTCCATATCGTGATTTGGTTTAACTGTAATGACCTGCTTTTGAGCAATTCTTTCCACATTCCGTGACATTCCGCATTAAACGGTGAATTCTGTCTTTCGACTGGATGAAGACACACCGCGTAATCTTCCCGCGCACCATGCGGCCCCTTGCCTGATGTGAACACAGCACATCTCACATGCCACCGCTTGTGGCCGAGCCAGTGTCACGCACAAAGCTCTGCGCGAGGACAGCTTCACGTTCTCGCGAGACACATCAGATCTCGCGAGATCTCGTGTCACACCCCTAACATATACATAGCTAGAAATAGTCAGATGCTAGATAGATAAATACAGTATTTTAACGCGTTTGCGTTCCACTGCTCTAGTTTTCTATGTAAAGACTCACTAGCTGGACGTGTTTGACAGTTAACACTGCGTCTTAAAAGCGTGCGGTCTAAATAAATTAAACTTCTTACCGTTGGGTTTGATCATTGCGCTCGCGTCTTTTGCAGCGTTTCGCGATTAACACTGTGTTAACTTGTTGAGTCGCATACTATGGAAGCATATAGGTAGCGAACTTTAATTTAAAATGCAATATGCAAAATGGCATTGTATTTCTGTATTTAAATTTTCCATTACCAATACGTGCAAAGTTTGGTGCAAAAGTAAAATTCAATTATATAATTTACATTTGCCATTTCCAACAGCAGTCTTAATATGTAGAACATGCGGGATTCATATTTAAAGCGACTTTTGCGGCTTAACATTTACAGATACTAGTCCATATCGTGATTTGGTTTAACTGTAATGACCTGCTTTTGAGTAATTCTTTCCACATTCCGTGACATTCCGCATTAAACGGTGAATTCTGTCTTTCGACAGGATGAAGACACACCGCGTAATCTTCCCGCTTACCATGCGGCCCCTTGCCTGATGTGAACACAGCACATCTCACATGCCACCGCTTGTGGCCGAGCCAGCGTCACGCACAAAGCTCTGCGCGAGGACAGCTTCACGTTCTCGCGAGACACATCAGATCTCGCGAGATCTCGTGTCACACCCCTAACATATACATAGCTAGAAAGAGTCAGATGCTAGATAGATAAATACAGTATTTTAACGCGTTTGCGTTCCACTGCTCTAGTTTTCTATGTAAAGACTCACTAGCTGGACGTGTTTGACCGTTAACACTGCGTCTTAAAAGCGTGCGGTCTAAATAAATTAAACTTCTTACCGTCGAACTAAACTAAACTAAACCTTTCTCTCCATTCCACTAACTTACCCTCCGTCTGAGGATTTTCAGCGCGATGAACGGGTTATTTGTGAATGCTCCTGGGCAGCTAACCCGTCGTGTGCATGTAGCATCACGCAGAAGCAGAAGTCCTCCGTTACCGTCACCGTGCTATACGAGCATTTAACGTTACGCGCGCATTCATCAGACAGCTTTCTTCCGCGTGACTGTATCGTGGCGCACGAGGGTTTTTAGAAGCAGTATGTTGATGTAAAGCAAGGGTTACACCCGGTTCCTGTGAGCCGCACGTGCTGCTCGAGACCCCGGCCGCTCCTCCGCTCAAACACCGGCGCGTGCGGCGCGTGCGGCCCGGTCACCGCGCCTCATTGCGGGGAAGCACGAGCGCTTCCCGACTCACCGTTCTGAGTCCTCACGGACTCGCCGGTCGTCCTCTGGCCGAGCACGGTTAACGGACCCTCTGTCATGGACATGTTGGATGGAGAGAAGAATGGAGGCGCGCGCGGTGGCTTATGGGTAGCGTGAGCGCGGGAGGGGCGCGTGTGGAAGGTTCCAGATCGATCCAGAACAGCGCTTTTAGCTCTCACTCAAACACTCACACGAGCCACTAAACCGATCCAAAGACTCGACTCCGCTCGTGTGTGTGTGTGTATAAAGCGCTCTAAAACAACGCGCTAACCCACAGACTGATAGAGCTATGAAAACTACAAGTCCCTGTGTGAATGCGGTACTTCCTTCGATGGTTTTCTCTGCGACTGCGGGACCTCTAGCGGTCTGGCGGCGCAGCGGCGGCTGTTTAAACCGGTCGAACAAGCGCAACGGCTAAAGCTAACGCTTCCGGTCTCAGTAGCGGAAGGAGACCGGAGCCGTTCTTTTGCTTTGAACGGCTGTCAATGGAGAGGCTTCGCTGAATAAACAGCGTTTTAGAGGAAACGGCTCGTCTGTAATGAATCCACAGCCCGTCTGCTAATCTTCAACATGTCTCACGCTGGGCTTGAACTATGTTCTAGAGTTCGCCTCGAAACAAATGCAGTGTTATAAGAGAAGTCACCGACTTAGCTTCACCTAACTCCCGCAAAGTATAAAAGTAGAGTTAACGCAGCAGAACAATTAATATATTTAAATAAAAACCTTTATATGTTAAAAACGCCAGGCTTGATGTCATAAGCGTTAACATTTAGACATTCAGCAGATGCTTTCATCCAAAGCCACGAACCAACGAGGACAACGGAAACGATCTAAACAACAAGAGAGCAATGCTATAGGAGTGCTATAACTAGCCTCGGTTAGCCTGACGCAGTACACGCAGCAAGGCTTTTTAAACAACATAATAGAAGAAAACAGATAGAATAGAGCAAGCTAGTGTTAGTAACGCGTTTGCGTTCCACTGCTCTAGTTTTCTATGTAAAGACTCACTAGCTGGACGTGTTTGACAGTTAACACTGCGTCTTAAAAGCGTGCGGTCTAAATAAATTAAACTTCTTACCGTCGAACTAAACTAAACTAAACCTTTCTCTCCATTCCACTAACTTACCCTCCGTCTGAGGATTTTCAGCGCGATGAACGGGTTATTTGTGAATGCTCCTGGGCAGCTAACCCGTCGTGTGCATGTAGCATCACGCAGAAGCAGAAGTCCTCCGTTACCGTCACCGTGCTATACGAGCATTTAACGTTACGCGCGCATTCATCAGACAGCTTTCTTCCGCGTGACTGTATCGTGGCGCACGAGGGTTTTTAGAAGCAGTATGTTGATGTAAAGCAAGGGTTACACCCGGTTCCTGTGAGCCGCACGTGCTGCTCGAGACCCCGGCCGCTCCTCCGCTCAAACACCGGCGCGTGCGGCGCGTGCGGCCCGGTCACCGCGCCTCATTGCGGGGAAGCACGAGCGCTTCCCGACTCACCGTTCTGAGTCCTCACGGACTCGCCGGTCGTCCTCTGGCCGAGCACGGTTAACGGACCCTCTGTCATGGACATGTTGGATGGAGAGAAGAATGGAGGCGCGCGCGGTGGCTTATGGGTAGCGTGAGCGCGGGAGGGGCGCGTGTGGAAGGTTCCAGATCGATCCAGAACAGCGCTTTTAGCTCTCACTCAAACACTCACACGAGCCACTAAACCGATCCAAAGACTCGACTCCGCTCGTGTGTGTGTGTGTATAAAGCGCTCTAAAACAACGCGCTAACCCACAGACTGATAGAGCTATGAAAACTACAAGTCCCTGTGTGAATGCGGTACTTCCTTCGATGGTTTTCTCTGCGACTGCGGGACCTCTAGCGGTCTGGCGGCGCAGCGGCGGCTGTTTAAACCGGTCGAACAAGCGCAACGGCTAAAGCTAACGCTTCCGGTCTCAGTAGCGGAAGGAGACCGGAGCCGTTCTTTTGCTTTGAACGGCTGTCAATGGAGAGGCTTCGCTGAATAAACAGCGTTTTAGAGGAAACGGCTCGTCTGTAATGAATCCACAGCCCGTCTGCTAATCTTCAACATGTCTCACGCTGGGCTTGAACTATGTTCTAGAGTTCGCCTCGAAACAAATGCAGTGTTATAAGAGAAGTCACCGACTTAGCTTCACCTAACTCCCGCAAAGTATAAAAGTAGAGTTAACGCAGCAGAACAATTAATATATTTAAATAAAAACCTTTATATGTTAAAAACGCCAGGCTTGATGTCATAAGCGTTAACATTTAGACATTCAGCAGATGCTTTCATCCAAAGCCACGAACCAACGAGGACAACGGAAACGATCTAAACAACAAGAGAGCAATGCTATAGGAGTGCTATAACTAGCCTCGGTTAGCCTGACGCAGTACACGCAGCAAGGCTTTTTAAACAACATAATAGAAGAAAACAGATAGAATAGAGCAAGCTAGTGTTAGAGGCCTTTTATTCATGTAATTCTTTTTTCACCAAGTGCCTTGGAGCCGTAGTTTCTATAGATTCATTATAATTAATTAAAAGTCGCGCACGCTAACCACTCCCCCAACCTAGATGGGTAATGAGCAAGCGGCAACCTCTCTCGTGAAGCCAACACGGAAGTGACTTAAACTGTAATTCATTGACTGGCCGGTTGCAAAATAGAGTCAGTCCCATAGACTCCGCATGTTAAAATGCCCAACTTTACAGCAGAAAAAAACATGTTTGCAGCCTGGTACAAAAATTTTTTTTTGGTATATATAGCTAATTTTGCCCTTCATGACAACTGAGAGGGGGGTGAATTTTTTTTATAACTCATCCGTTTAAATTATAATAAGTCTTAAAGTTCTGCATAATTAAGGGCGTGGCCACTTGAGGTGGATCGCCGCTGCGGTCACCGGCGTCGAGCTAGGTGGGCGTGGCTTCAGCAACCAGCTCCCGCCTCTTTGCCCATTTTTGATTATCCGGGAGTGACGCGCGGTGACGTGCTGCCAAGATGGCGACGGCTGGCTCCGCCCACTTTGAGCTTCAAAAGCGCTCTTCGGAAACCTACGGGTGACGTCACGGACACTACGTCCATGTTTTTATACAGTCTATGGTTGTGATGAGCACAATATTTACGTTATAATTCGTCAATTCGCGTATACTTGGAAGTGACCGCTAGGTGTCACCGTAGAGACCGGTGTCGAATTGTTTCGAAGCCTCGGCACATTTGCTTCTACTGTTTTAGTGTTTCATGCACCACTACCCAGCAGCATTTAAGTTTAACCTCTCACAGGCCAAGCCCAAAGAGCAGCTTCTTTTCAATGAAAGATCTCCCCAGGTTTGAATTAATTCTGCATCCACACACAAGCCTCTACCGTCTCCTGACCTGCCTTCATTGGTGACAGACAGGTAACGATCGTGTTTGCACTAAACCTTGGAGCTGTTTATCACTGCTGTTAAATTTAATCCATTATTAAAACATTTAAATACAGCCAGCTACAGAGTGCACAGGCAGTAGCCCTGTATTAGCAGCAAGCTAGTTTGGCGTTGGCGTAAAATAGTGTCGTGCAACGTCGGAAATGCTATCAAAATAAATATGTGCCCCCAGAATCCAATATACCCTTTCCAAAGTGACTACATATTCATATTCCTCGGCTGGGATCGTGTAGAGCCCTTTGAAACTGCATTGAAACTGCAATTTGGACCTTCAACCCGTTGATCCCCATTGAAGTATTGACGACTGTGTCGATCATGTTGGCTCTGCCCAATATGTGAGTAAGTCTGACCTTCTGAAGGGGTTTTGGCAGGTGCCTTTAACTGCCCGAGCAAAAGAGTTATCTGCATTCATTACCCCTGATGCCTTCCTTCAGTATACGGTAATGCCTTTTGGGGTCCAAAATGCCCCTGCTACTTTCCAACATTTGGTGAATCGTATATTGTATGGAATGTCTGGATGTGGTGTAGGGCTGGACAATAATTCAATATCAATATGTATCGCGATATAATTTTTTTTCAATAATGGTGATATGATTTTTAAACACATTTCCGATATTTCGATATACATTACCAGTTTCCCATACACTGATGTATTTGTGGCGTTTGACTTCGTTGAATAAACATGAGCACTGCACGTTTCAAAATCAAAACACGGCG